TTTTTAACCCACTATATACGAAGTCTGACCTTTGTCTTACGAATAATAAGTCTAAAATAATTACTTAAAATTATAGTTTCGTACTCAAGTAACTTATTTGGCTGATGATTTGCTTCTCTTTATAAAGAGAGATTTGAGATTTGTCTACATATATTGAATGAGTTCAGTCGAAAGTGTGTAATGATTTGAAGTAGCTTGATTGCTTCTGATTTGCAGAAGTTTAGGAAAATATTGGAGTTCGTTTGGTAAGTGGCTTTGAGTATATGTCAAAAACAAAAATATTTTTGATAAATTTTTCAACGTTTTTTTTTTGACAGTTTATGTACTTTTGAGACAACCGTTCTTATTAAGGTGTTTAAATGTAATAGGTCTGGGCTTGCTTCTTCTGTCAAATTATTACATGTTTCGTCTCTACAAGTATTCTGTTTTACAAAAAAAATTCCTCGAAACTACTAAGGTATGGGTTACATTTTAAAAATTTCGAAAACCATCGCGAAATTTATAATTAATAAAAAATTAAAAGAACCTCGTACATGATATGTTGAAACTTTGAAAAATCGTTTGGGAGAGTGTTCTGAAACTACAAGTTATATACTTTTTATACCTTGAACGAGATATATTAACAAAATTGAGCATGGGTTAATGCAATCTCCGAAGAAATTGTTCAGATTTTATCACTATAGCATAGAGCTGTCATACAATTTTTGTAATTGTGATCGATATTATAGCTACGAAGCAATCGAAGTTAACTTTTTTCATGTTTTTAATATTTTTGAGGCGAGGTAAAATAGCATAAGTCGACATAAGTTGATTGAGATTGGCGATTTTGGAATTAAAAAACTACTGTATGTATATATTGTTTTAAAATTTTGAAGGTAACGGTCCTTCGAAAAAAAGAAACATTCCCTTCTAAAAAATATTACCCGCACAAAAATTTGACAAAATAGCGGTGTTTCTAGTTGAATTTTACTAAAAGTTTTGGTCGTTTTTGGCCATTCCATTTTTGATGAGATCAAAATACTGGTAGGTAATTATATGGAGGACAAAAAAGAGAACATGCAGAAAAATTTTAAAATGATTGAATAATTTGTCATCGAGCAATCTCTGCAGCAAATTCGAAAAATGATCTTTTGAGAAAAACGCGTTTAAAGTTAAACTGATGGCTGTAACTCAAAAGCTTTCTGAGATATCGATTTAAAATTTAATGTAATTTTTAAATGTATATATAAATGAATATATAAATATGTCCCTTAATAATAATTTTTTTCAAGTACCCTATGTTCGAATTTCGAAAGCAAATATATCGATTTCGGATGCTCACTTCGAAAAACGGAATTAATTACTTCTTTTTTTTTTACTTAAAACTCACCGAAAAAATTGGTTTAATCCAACACCCAATAGTGATTTTTAGTCGTATAGTGTTATTATAAGAGTAGGAAGAATATTCTACAAAACAATAACTAACAATTTTTTTATACGAAATTTTATTAGAAGGCCACAATTAAAATTTATGTTCTAGTTTTCTTTATGTATGCTCAAAAATTTTAACCACTTTATAGCAACAGGTGTAGTATAAATCTATCCACGCACACATAAATTTTTTTATAGCAATACTAAACGCTAAGTAATTATAATTGTAGCGAAAATCATGAAATGCGCATTGGAACAACTCAAAAGATATTTCGTGTTTAAAATTAGACGCAAAGAAATACTAAGTGAACGCTAAAAACAGAACAGTAAAACAATTCAAGAAAATTTTCATGCTAAAAAGGTGTGCTTAAGCACAAACAAGCCATTATTAGGTGAACACAAATACACATATGGTACTTCGAAATATATGCTAAAATATCTAGTACATAATGTATTGTGGGGGTTGTGCCGCCAAAAGACCAAATTGAGGCAAAAACAAAGGCACCAAGCAAACAAAGAAACAGTGGAACATGCTGCAGACAAGAGCGACCAAATTAACTTTGACATCCGCAAGCTTTAAGTGCATTTATATATTATATACTTTTTATTGTTTCTTTACTAATATATATTCACATAGCTGCATAAATTTCGCTATACTTGCCAAAAAAAAAAAATATTTTTAAATAATCACAAAGGCGTGAATTGTAGCGGGAAGCAGCAGCACATACACTCCTATAAATAAATATATGTTATATATAGCAATATAATACAAGTATTTTATGCCTGTCGATTTTTATAATTTTCACTTTTCGCCATAAATATTATATTACAATATATATTTTCCCACCACGTGCAATATTTATTATGCCGTATTTAACTTCGTAATTTATTTACACCGAAAACTATAATCACCCTACATTCATTAAATAATATTGTTCAACAGACAGCCGAGGCGTTTGTTATATTTTATTTTCAACTGCATAATGTATTTTCTTGTTTCTTCTAAAATATTGAAATGCTTTTATAGCTTCACACACGAGCTACCACAGCCTATAGTATACTTTTGATTAATATCATATTTAAATGGCGCGGAAATTCGTACCCGTTTCGCCCAAAAGAGCGGCAACAGCAATTGTTTCGTGGCCATAAAATTGCACTTTATTATTTTCTATTTGGCGCCATAATATTCTCTTAGCAGTGCTGTGAGTGATTTTCTATTAGATATAACAGTTTTGACGAAAGAGGCAACGATCGTTACGAAAAAAAATATAATTTCATATTTCTTGTTTAATTAGCCTTATCAAATCTATTGAGGTTCGGCCTGACGGTTATTACCTTCCAGGCGCCTTACTACGCGCCCGCCTTCTCCAGTCTCGTACACCAAGTTTCGTACTGCTTCTTATACTTGTTTACTAAACAGAAACATGGTATACCTCTAGGTTTTTCCAGCGGCCCCGCATTGAATACCCTTTTCGCTATAGCAGCTCTATCTATCTTCACAGCCTGACCAAGCAACGCTGCAGCTTATTTCATTTTAGCATCGTCCATGCTTTTGCGCCACACAGAAGCAAGGGTACCGGTTGAGCGACTTGTAGAGTGTTTTGTCTGTCGAGAGAGGGTTCTATACCTAATGCCTATTGGGTTCGTGGTAGCAGCGATCTCAAAGCTGGCAGCTGGCTTCGGATTTTACCGTATTCGATTTCTGATCATCGAATAGTAAAACACTCACCATTCATTTTCAATATTCAAACATGCAATGGATTTTATGAAGAGATTGTTTATGACAGAAATACGCTCGATGCTTGCTCTGCTGGCCGAAACTGAGATCAACCTAGTTGGGTTTACTCTAACTTTTTCGCCACTGCCAGTTGTTTTTTGCAAATCTTAAAACTTTGAAAGATTATTATCTTTTTTTTTTTGGATTTTTACTTCCTCGACTAATCCAATTAACTTGAGGTTAGATGGCTGATCCCTCGGCATGGCAGAGGTCTTTATTTCTATTTTGCAATTTAACCTAGATGATTTTCGCTAAACGGCGCTTCCTATTTGCGCCTTTTATATTGGTAGTGCTTCATTATTCCTAACAGAGGTTCCCCTGCTGGTACTGGCGATTCCGCCTCGTACCGTTCCTAGCATTGTCAGTATTCGGTAGATTTACCGATTTGTCACGTCTTTCTTCCCCTAGTGCATCTAGTTTGAAGTGCTTAGTGATAGATCTTCTTCACCTCCCGATTTCGTCTTCTCTAGTTAAGTTTATTCGAAAAATTCCCCAACAGAACCGCTATGCGTCCCCGAAATGTAGTCGCCTTTAATGGTCCCAATATTATCTCATACGAGGCCGAGAGGAGGCAGTTGCGGATTATCCACCAGCCATTTCAGCTCAGTTCACCCCATCATACTAAGTGGCAGAATGCCGCAACCACCAGCCCAGGTTAAACTGAAACCAAAAAAGACTATTTCCTAACTTAATCTATGACAATGCTATAGTCCAGTTCAGAAGTTGGTAAGCCGTGAACGCTGTCGTCATTAGCGTTTCCCAGGATCTAAAAATTTATGATCAGCATGATAAGCTGAGTCGATAGTATGTTTGTCTCGTCTGAAATTTGCACACGTTTTTCTGCAGAACTGTGAACCGCCAGTTCGGAAAATGAATCTGATACCGACGATCAAAATATAGTTATGGTATGGAATCTTTTGTATTTGTGAGGGTATTATAGCTACCAAAGTTAGGGTTTCCTTGGTTTTTTTTATGTGTTCAATCCAAGAGGATTGGATCTCCGAAATAACAGCCCTTGCCCGGAGAAAATCGGTCAATTCCGGTACCGTACAACTGATTTGTGCAAATTGTCTCTCTTGCTTTAATAATTGAAGTCTTAAAAGAGCTGACTCTTTAAACTGACTTCGCAAAACTCAGAATTGTATTGTACTTGAAACGTATGGACTCAAGTTTTGACATATATTGTGCATGTACAATATTTAAAATATGCAGTCCTTGCTTTAGAAAGTTAAATCGATGCTCAGGGCAGTACTTTAGAGATCTTTCGTGATTTTAGGCGTGATAATAGGTATTGCATCGGCGGTAGTTATGTAATGGTTGTGATGTGTGAAAGCGTTGATAAATATTAGTATTTATGTAGATTAAATGCAACAAATTATCTTCATATGATAGATCAAACTAGATTCAAATATGAAAAAAATCTAATGAAAAATATGTTAAAAGATACATGTACTTAAATTGGTCGAAATGAACCTTTAAACCATTGTAAAAATTAGACCGAGTTTTGTTTTGGTTTAAGTTCAGCTACTAATTAGAAAAACTCAATATCCGGTTATTTACCTTCTTTATTAGATTCATTAAACACTTTCTCATAATCTTTACCTCCTTTCCATATAATTTAAATTTAATGGTCAGTATATACCCCGATTGCGTTACTTCTAGGTAGTCAATCTAATGAAAATCAATGTCAGGAACTTCTACCATATGCGATAATTAAAAAACGCTGCACTTAAAAAAATCGCTTAAATATTAATATATAAAATTTAAGATTCCAATATACTAATAAAACTTTTATAAATTTCTTTCTTTCCAGGGAAAAGAGTTGCAAACAGCGAAAGAAACGTAAAAGGACGAGAGTTGGAACTTGTTGCAAGCGGTCCAGTTGAGAGACAGTTAGACAGGAGATAGCAGGATAGCGCCGGTACGAGAGAGCAGCGAGTTTTAGCGTAGAAACATTTTTCGAATTTCTTTAAAAAAAAAAAAAAAAAAATTGGAGTTTCAAGCAAGTGTTTGCTAGGCAGCAAGAAAAAAGAGAGCAACTCAAAAAGCGCGCATATCAGAAGAATTGGTATACAAATTTCGGTTTTAGCTAAAACAAGCAAGAGAAAGCAAAAAGCAACAAAAAGAGCTAATTAATTGACAGAATTATTGCGAACATAACTTGTTTACAATTAAAGAGTAATTAAACTACACAACTAAAGCGCAACAGCGATTTCGAACGGCAGAAAATCAGGCAGGTTTTTGCAAAGAAACAACAACAAAAAAAGAAAGCAAAAGCTATAAAGAAAACTATTTTGAAAAACTTTTTCTAATTACTTTTTGTGATAATTTTTAAGCTAAAAAATATAAATACCAACAACAACTCATTAACACCAAAAACTAAAAAAAAAAACAATCTACTAAACTATTGTACTTAATTTTAAATTTTTGCGCTAATTAAAAACAATTTCCGTATATAAGCTTCAATTTGCACATTAAATACTTAAATTATATTTATACAAAATATTTACAAGAAAAAAACAACAACACAAAATTAATTGGCATAAACTGCTGCAAGTGTTGACACACCATTCCGATTTATTGAGAGTAAACAAAAGCAAAAGAAAGCAAAATAAAAGAAAGAAAAAAACTTTAGTCCAGTTTTGTGACAGAAGTTTCCATATATTTATACTTTGGAGCGATCACTGTCAAATTTGTAACAAAAACAGGACGCGCAGTTTCCAAAGCGAAATATTTTACAAAGCCGCCTAACCTAACCTACAAAGTCAAGGAGAAAAACATAGACAAAACAACAAAAACACCTCAGCGCTTGAAAGTAAAAGACAGCCGAAGAGCATAAAGCAAAAGTGCGGAGCGTGAGCGCTAAAATAACAACGTACTTCTATAAAATTAATATATTTAATACCAAAAAGAAGAAGAAACAAAAAACTCTTAACTGTCCTGTCTACAAGTACACAATATACAAGCCTATTGTATATTGCATACGAACGCATAAATAATTTCTTATTTGTGTTAAAGTCGTAAATTAATGAGCAACATGCGTCAAAGGATTTGCGCCCAGCACCAGCTCTTATGAGTTTAAGGGCATGAAGTTCTAATCACCGATCGGCCATCAGATGTCACCATCCATCATTATATAACGGTTAGTATACGCTTTGTTAAACTGTTTTAATTTTTATATACCCTGAATAACCAGTAACGTCGAAGACCCCATAAAATATATATGTACGTATATAATCAGCGTTACAAGCTGGCTCGATTTAGCGATGCCCGTCTGTGTGTCTGTCTGTATATATGTCTCTCAGTTTTTGAAATATCAATTTGAAATTTTAAACACGTCCTTTTCTGTCCAAGAAGCTGCTCATATGTCTAAACCGCCGATATCGGTTCATTATAACATAAGCTGGTCATACAAACTGATCAATCAAAGTTCAGTTCTTGTATGCACAAGTTTTTCATCTGATAAGATATCGTCAGGAAATTTGGCATAGAATATTTTTAAGGAATACACTACAATCTACGTAGAAATTTTTCCGACCGGATCACTACAGCCATATCAACTGAACGATCGGAATCAAGTGCTTATATGGAAAACTTTTTATTTAACAAAGTATCTTAACGAAATTTGGCATAGATTATTGTCCAAGACAGCACTACAATCTCCGAATCAAATTGTTCAGATTTGACTACTATAACATATAGCTGGCATACAAACTGATCAATCAAAGTTCAGTTCTTGTATGGAAAAGTTTTTTATTCAACAAGATATCTACACAAAATTTGCATGGATTATTGTCTACTATCTATACTCTATAGCATTAGCTGCATACAAATTCACCAATCTGTTAATTAAATTAAAATCAAGTTTGGTATATAAAACTTCTTTATGAAGTTATCATGCTTCGTGCAACCGAAGTTTAAATTTTTTCTTGTTCTTTTTCATAATCTCAAAAATTAAATTTATTATTTTCCACTTTTACAGGAGCTCAAAAAGAACAACGTCAGCACTGTTGTAGCGCGTATGCGAGCCCAGCTATAATACGGATGAGCTCGAAGCTCAAGGCATTACAGTTAGGATTTAGCATTCGAAGATGGCACTTTTCCGCCACCTCAAGTTGTTGATGAATGGTTCGAGATTTTGAAGCAAAAGTGAGTTGCAAAGCATTATTTTCATTCGTTTTTTCTCTGTTTCACTGTTTTATTCAACTAATTTTGTTTAAATTGTTCTGTTGTCTCGTTTTGCTTGCCTGCAAGTGGTTAATAATAATCATCATTGTGTGATATTGGCTTTATGCGTCGCAAATCATTTGCACCAAAAACGCAAATTCACCTCGCATATTCATCTTGGCGCGGCTTTCTTCGGCGGTAATTTGAGTAACGGTCATGTGTTATGTGTCATTTGGTTGCTGTATTGAAAATTCACATATGTATGTCGAAAATAGATTTTGCTTAAATTTAAATTTAGTTGGTCGAAAAAAATAGATTTTCAAAATAATTAGTTTTCAATGGCATTGCAATGTCTGGGCGTATTGACGATCGTAGGATACATATTTTTTTTTATATCTTTTGGTTGGATATTTTAGTGTATTGCGCAATTATTGGCGTTTCAGTTGAAAGTCATGTAATTTTGACATTTTGCAGCAATATTTTTTTCATTATAAATTATCAGGTATACTAAAATAAGAAATAGATTTTTTTTTGCATTAAATTTAAGGTTTTCTTAGCATAGTTTAGAACTTTACGTTTTAGCTCAAATATGCACCGTTTTGTTTGATAACTAGTGGCCATTTTGAAGTAGTTTCATAATACCTCTCTCTTAGTAACCCTTGTCCCTATTGTAAACAACCAAGATGGTAGATTACAAGTTTTTAGGCGATTTTTCAACTGCAAATTATTCGTCATATAAATATAAGAACAGGATATATTGTATATGTATATATATATACGAGATGTGTTAAAAAATAACGGAAATTTTTTTTCTTAAAAAAAATATTTATTAATTTGTCTGCATTAATTTGTCGCCTTCAAAATAGTTCCATTCGATATTATGCACTAAGTCAGGTAAGGAAAAAATTCTCAAATTCGATTTTTAGAATAATTTTAGCTCTTGCGGCGATCTCATCTATTTTTTGTAAAACAACGACCCTTGGAGGTTCGTGGCGCTACAGACAAAGTAAGAATGGTTAGGTTAGGTTAGTTTAAGCTGGTAGGCTAATGAGCCACGTTTAGACAGTTTTTGATCCTTGCAATATAAATGGAGTTCCGTTACGAAGTCCATGAGCAGTTAAGTGCATTCTTTTTTAGGATGCCTTGTGAGACTCAAATTACTTAGCCTAGTTTGTATTTAATGACTATACTAATGGACTTATTTCAGAATAAATATATATTATATAACCAATACGACATTTTCGAAAATATAGTTACCTGGAATTATTGCCATATTCGCAGTTATACGAAATATATGCAAAGGGACTTGCCTTTGTTTAACAGTGTCAACCGATATTGTCACGGTTAATAATAAAAAAAAGTCACTTCGTTCGTAACACATATCCACTATAATTCATGATATAAACTATAAGCAAAAGCATGCATGTTATTATAGAAAATATTTTAAAAATTATAAGCAGATATTTTTTGGCAAAGGCATATATATAACAGCATGTTGCCTAGCAATTTTTTTATTAAAGGTTTCTATAAAATGCTTAATTACTGTAACAGCGCTATAAAAAATTTTCATACATATTTTTTTATTAAAATTCAATTTTACTAATGCAAATGCTGCTATTGTGTGTCATTGAACAAATATAAAAATATGCGCAGTTTTTTGTGAATAAAATAATAATAAGATATAAAAAAAATTTAAGAAATAAAAAAAAATATTTTATTTTAAAAATATTTAAATTGAAATATTTATATTCTTAAAAATATTATTTTAAAAAAAATATATATTTATTTAAAAAAAAATTACATATATAGTAAAGCGTTAAATTAATTTTCTCATGCTAAGCAAATAATTTTGCACATCATTATTTCTGCCTCAAACTTAGCTGCGCTTATTAGAATTTTCAAAACTCATACTACACAATTGCTGTCTTTATAATACAAAATATTTGATACATTAGGGTGTCTTATTTCCCTAGGAAGGAAGAGAAATTAGGTTTTTGCGCTAAAAATAGTATACAGTAAAAGCTCTTTATTTTAATTTAAACCTGCCTAATAGATTACTGCAGAAGCTTTGAAATTAAAAAATAAATAAGAATTCTTCGTAGTTTGAAACCCATTGAAAACGAAAGATAACATAACAAACATTAGAATAATAATTTATGGGCGATCGGTGGTGGAAACAAAAGAGGGGGCGTGGGCGAATTTATTTTTAAGGGTTAAAAACGGCTTATTCGATTTTCTGGCAAAACTGAGCCTAAAAAAAATTACAAGTAATACGAAAGGATCTAAAACTTTATAATATAGACATTATCCACATAACCTCAATATGATAAGTTATTTTTATTTTTATATTTTGTACAAAAAAATTGTATTTTCATTCACGAGATTTGGTGTAAACTTACATTCTTATGTCCACATACCCAGCTTTTTTGTTTTTATTTAAATATTAGAACAAACCCTTTTTGATTAAACCGAAACCATATTTACAACATTTTATTTACGTCATATTTAGAAATTTTAATGGTAAATATTATATGTAATTATGATACATTTTTCAGAGAACACCGACAGCTGAAAACCGATTCAAAGTTTTTTTTTTTATTTATTATTAATCTTATCTCTGCTTCTCGAATTTCTCTGGCAAACTACGAGCGCTATAAAGAAAAAATTGTGGCGTTGTAGAATAACGAAGGATTCCTAAAACTTTTATATTAGACATTATTCACTAACCTCAAATAATTATTTATTTTTATTTGTACAAAATTGTAATTTCCTTTCCGAGATTTGGTGTAAAACTTACATTTATGTCCACATACCCAGTTTTTTGGTTTTTATTTAAAGTATTACAGAAAC